ATTATTTTTATTACTAATTGTTTAAAGCTTTTTTTTTTAGATATATAAGTCTAATTGCTTTAGTGTCTGAAAGGTAATTTTTTAAAAATTTTGAAAATAAAAAATAACTCTAATAACAACCTACCCTTTCCTTATTCAGCTGTCGCTACTAATACAACCTGCCCTCATTATAATTCAAATAATATTACTGGTTCTCATCAACCATCTCAACCATCTTATAACGATGACTCAGATTCTGACAAATCCACTAGATCTATAAGAAGTGCACATAATACTTTTTCCATAATAAGTGGTAGAAGTAGGCAACATCAATCATCCCTTCCAACCCAATCAAGGCAATCCAGACAATCCAGACAATCCGTCCAACAAACTTCCTCCAGGCAACCATCACCTTCCAAACAATCTGTTTAGCAAATTTATTCTAGGCAACCATCGCCTTCTTAACCTATCTCACGTCATGCATCATGATCGTCATCACTGCAGTCGCAGCAAACACGTGGAAGATCAGCATCACCTGATCGTCGATCTTCCAATCAAAATCATTCACATAATCATGATGGTATAAAAGTTTTTTTTTTTTTTTGATTTTTGAATGTTGATCTTTTGATCTAATTTTTTTTTTTTTTTTTGAAACTTTTTTTTGTTACCTTTTTGAGCTCGTTCAAGTCATCATCGCTGTGAAGCTAAGGACCGAGAATGTCTCTTCGCTCAAAACCGCCAAATATACCTTCTGATCAGACAGTTAAGCAATGATTTTTAAGATCAAAGGAATGAAATGTGGCACAGAAACATTCAAGGCACTCAAGGCATTCAAGGCGAGGATCTTTCGCCCAAAGTGTAGGACGTAAATATTATAGAAAGCAAGGGCATATTTTGAGCACTTTTTTTTTTAGTATATTCTGAGCGCTTTTTTTTTTTGGCATATTCTGAGCGCTTTTGTTTTTATATTTTCGCAAGAAGTATATATTAGCGTTGTCAAACGCCTTTTTCTGCATATAATATATCCCACCCAAGATGAAATAAAGAAGTCCCTCAAGAACTACTTGAACGAAAAGTTTCCTGAATTCATGACGAACTTAAGTGCAAACGATTTTGCAAACTGGTTTCATGGTGTGTGGTGTTCTCAGGTAAGCAATAATATTTGACATCTGTGTATATCGTTTTATATCATTATCAATCATTTTCAATAGGTCTAAGCATTTTTTATAGTGTTCAATTTCCAATAGCTCTTACAAAAAATGAAAAACCTGCATGGTTCAGCATTGCAAAACGTACGTTCGGCAATTTGGAGTGTATTTGGTTGCGAAAGGCTTCCTCGCCTCAGAAGCAATGCTAGTGCTGAGGATATAGTAAGGTGGAAGCAAAGCCAAGAAGTGTATGATTGCTATTGTGCACTCTATGAGCAAGATGATAAAGGCATTTTTTGAGTTGCAATTATTGCAAGAACTGCATTCAGCACGGCTGCTGCCCCTACTCTCACAAACCATCATTGTGCCTTCACACTAGCCATGTGTGACATTATATTGAATTCTCAATCAAAAAATATCGTCTGTAGTGAAAGCCGAATTAAGCGTCGCATGGTGCGCTATTTGGTAAGTATTTGTAACATATCGATTCTAACTACAAAATGAATATTAAACTTTATTATACTAGAATGACTTTGATAATAGTGGTCCTAATCAAGAATCGACCAACACAATCATTAATAATAAGCTTGCTTCAGGCTTTCAAAAAGCTGAACAATCAACACAAACACAATCAGTACAGGCCAATTCCAACATTAAACCTGATCTTAATACAACTCCCCTGTTCTAAAGTAATTCTTTAATTCTTTTGCAGAATGCACAGATGAATTGTTTGGGATCTATTAGTAGCATTGTTTTTTTTTGTAATTTTTAATATATTGCATGCAAATGTATCTTATATGTATAAAATAAATTGTATTCAATTTAAATTTATAAATTTTATTCGCTTTAAGTTGATAAATTTAAAAATGAATCACTGTAATATTTAATATAATGATTTGTGTATATCAATTCTAATATTATGAGTATAGCAGTACATAACAATTATAATCGATAGATAACCATAAGCCGATTATAATCGATATATAACCGAAGCGATTATAATCAATATATTACTTAATATGATTCTAATCATTTAGGTTATATATCGATTATAATCACTTCGGTTATATATCGATTATAATCAGCTTATGGTTATCTATCGATTAGTATCACAATCATTATAAATCAGCAGAGGTGATTTATATCATTATATATTTTTCGGTTACCAATCGATATATAGCTTTCTATTTTTTTTTTCTGATGTGGGGCCCGACTTGGTGTACCTAAGATTACAGATGCCTAAAATCCAACTGATCGGTAGAGACAGTTAAACACAGATATAATTTTCAAAATTCGTCATCCGTGGGAATTGAAGCTTAGACCTGCCACTTGGGAGTTAACAACCTATCTACTTTACTAGGTTGCCACACTTCTGCTTCATATGAACTTATAAAAAATAACAAAACTAATAAAATAATAAATTTATTTATTTTATTAATTTACATTTAAGATAAAATATGATATTTATATTTTTTAAGTTACTTTTAGTCGTTGTTTTGGTCTTTGTTGATCATCATCACTACTATCATCTTCTCTTTGATGTCTACTACCAACTATAGATTCAGGAATATCATTTAATAAATCATTATTTGTTCCTGATTCAACATTATATTTTATCCATTCTGCAAATAACATCGCTAAAAATTGAGATGTTTTTGTTTTATATTGAAAAAAATTATTATTAGTATAAGTTCTATCAATATTTGTATTCCATAATATATAAAGTTCTTTTGCTTATGGTAAATCTGTTGCTGATCTAAATGCTTCATACATTAAATTAAATGTCTCCTTTACTTTATTAAGTGTTTTTACTATAGTATCTCTAGATACAAAAGGTAATAATTCATCAGTATCTTGCAATTTTTCAGTATATTCAAAATCCATTTGTAGATCATCAGGAACTTGTTCCATTATTTTTCTATAATATAATGCTTCCTTATATAAATGAGTCATCTTTTTATAATTTGATGATAAAGAATTTCAATTAATAGCATAATTTCCATCTAATAGCTTTTGTTCAATTGCATAATCCCAATAATCATTATTAGCTAAATTATTTAAAAGTATTTCATTATTCATATCTGTTAATAAATGACATAATTCTGAAAATGAATTATCTTTTTTTTTTTTTTTTTTTTTTTTTTTTGCTTTTGCTAAGGCCTTTTAGTTATGGCAGCTACTGCCTTTATTGTGAATTCAATTATGATTACATAACTTGTACAAGGTTACCCCTATACTACACTAGCAGATAGCAGCACCAGCTTCTGTACACCTAATTAGATGCCATCTAATCTAATCATGACCTCCCTGTCTGTAAGTCTGTCAAGCTGTTATACATTTCAGAGTACGTCACCTGACTATAGGGCTCCAGGAGGCCCCTCTGCTAACTAACTACCCACATTTAATCTTTGCTAACAGGGCTCGCCCTTGCAGAGTTCACTCAGACCCTAGCATTGACTTCACAGCATATCCCTAGTATTTTAGTATACCTTTGTTTCTGCCCTCAGACTCCCAATCCAGATAGTCTGGTAGAACTGTGATCTGTCTCTGGTACCTCAGGGTCTGCCCCTCAAGGTTCTTTTCCTCCAGTTCAAGTCTTTCGGTGGCCTGGTTGGTGGTACCTCTCACCCAAGGTTCTTGCCCACCCGATTCCTTCCACATTGGTATCCGTTTCCTTTATAGTAGTACTGTCAAAGATCTGTGTTACCTCTCTACTCGGGTCTTCCCAAGTGGGCTTTCGGTTATCCCAGTTCATGGATTTACATGGCCACAGATGCCCCATAACCTGCCAGTTATCTGGTGTGACCGTGTTACAGGTACTGATCCCAACTGATGGATAGATAGCCATTACTGTAGTACCGGTTTCAAGGACTTATCTTGTGTTTGCACCGCCCAATGTCAGTTTGCATTCCTTTGTGTAACTTTAGCATTGCACAGATGCCCGTATACACTGATGTAACATAGGTGGTTTTCCAAATTTTCATCGTCAGTGGGTTTTGAACTCCCAATCTACCACTTGGAGAGTTGACAACTTATCTACTTCACTAAGTTGCCACACCCTAAAATAAATTATCTAATAATAGTGGTTCATTAATATGTATATCTTCCATATCAATTACTATTTCAACTTTTGGAAAATCATTTTTATTGGAAATATTAAAATCAGGTTGTTTAGGTTGTTTAGGTTGACTTGTTGATGGTTGTTTTGGTTGTTTATTTGATAGAATTTTTTGAAGAAATATATTAATTCGTTCATTTATTGCTTTAATGATTCCAAATAACATCATTTGATATAATTCAAATTCATTAAATGTTTTTTGTTCTTCTAATTCTTTTTTTATTAAACAACAATTAACATAAGGATCCTAATTGTAATGACATTTACATATTTCTTTAGAATAAACATTTAATATAAAAATTAAAACTAACAAAAATTTAAATTTCATTTTGTTTATTTTTAAATAAATTAAATATACTTATATTTATATTTTTTATAAATACAAAGATTTCTATTTTATAAAAAATAATTTAAAAATGAGAAAATCCAAAATATTAATTTATTTTGAAATTTTAGAAATAAAAAAAACTGCTACTAAAGCTGAAATCAGAAAAGCTTATTATAAACAAAGTTTAAAATGGCATCCTGATAAAAATCCTAACAATATTGTTGAAGCAACAAAAAAATTTCAAGAAATAAATGAAGCTTATGAAAAATTACTTGAATTTATCAAAAAATGACCAAAGAAAACTAAAAAGAAAACTCATAAACCTAGAACAAAGAAACAAAAGAAAACATCTAAACCCCAATCAAAAAAAATAAAAACAAAAAAAACAAAAAACTCTGATGATAATGATGAATTTATTAAACATTTTTTTAAATTTATGAATAATTATATGAATAATAAATAATTTATTTATGTTGATCTTCACACAAAATTATTTACAAATTGAATTGTATTTTCTTTTGGAAATTTGTTAAAACATTCTTCACATAAATTAAGATAATGATTAATCTGATAATTATAATAAATGTCTATAACACTATCTCTAAAATATAAATTACATGAAGGAATATTACATCCACTAAATACAGGCATCTGACCACATTTTTTATAAAAATTACATTTATCACAATGTCTTGTTCCAACTTTCTATTTACGTACTGCTATTAATTTTTCTCCTTTATTGTAAGGTAAAACACATAAAAATTTCCTTTTCTATCTTTACTTAAAGGTTTTCGAATACTTTTACTAGTGCATATACATTTAACTTTATCTAATATACAATGTTCACATCATTTCTTAAAATCACATCATCCACATCTCTTTTTTATAATACATCTATCACATGGTAATTGGTCTTTAGAAAATTCTACATATGATCGTTTTTCTTTTTTAGTTTTTAGTAAATATATTTTTGTTGCTTTTAACTCCTGTGGATAAATACTATAATTAACTGAATATCGTACCCATACATCACGTTTAGCTTGAGAAAAAATATATTCATCAAATTTTTTTTTATAAAATTTACATGTTAATGCAAAATATAACATTGATTTATTATCTAATAAATCAAAAATAAAAAATATTATTTCAGTTAAAAGTTTATTCATTTTTAATTTACTTTACAAACTTGAAAAAAATAAGGTGTTTTTATAATTTTTAAAGTTACACAAATTTATTAAAATTCTATTTAAAAACCATTTCTATTATTGGTTAATTTATCATGAGCTAGTTTAAAATCTATTGCTTGTTGTTTTGCTTGTTCACTAGTTCTTTTCTTTGAAATATAAAATACTTTTACTTTAAGTTTATTATTTTTCTATTTATCTAAATACAAACATTTTTTCTTTATTAAAATAAATGATTTTAATAAATTAAATGACAATTTTCTGGACTTCTGGTCCGAAAATTGTCAAAAACTTATACCTTATTTTTCTACCTTGGATGATGCTCTGTGCTTTTTCATTCTTCAGGAAGAACCAAGCTTTCATTTTTTCATCAGTTTGTTTATTATGATATGACAAACGCCTCAACTTGATGATAAACAATTTCAACAAGTTGAAATTGTTTCTAATTAAAGTCTCATTTTTGTCAAATCTCATAAACAAAAATAAGTTTAAAATATAATAAATAATTATAATAAATTTAATAATAAATGATATTTATTAAATATTTAAAAAAAAATTATATTTTATTTAAATGACTATTCTTTGGATTATTAATTGAATCTTTCTACATTGAAGCTACTAACTTAAATGCAGCTTTATGATCAAGATCTGGATTATTTTGTTTAATAATAGGTAACTTTGGTTTCGTAAAACTATTATAAAGTGATAATTTTTTACTATTATTCATTTTTATTGCTGCACCACATTTTGCTAATCTATCAGCATATTCATTACTATTAATATCTTTATGTCCAAATATATGTGTAAAATATACTTTACCAGATCTTTTATTTATTAAAAAATATATTTTTTCAAAAAAATCTTTATTTTTCACTTCGTGATCATGTATTGTTTTCCAATTATTTTTTATCCATATATAAATCCAAGTTTCACATGAATTAACTACATATCTACTATTACTTTTAATTTCAATTATTTTATTTTGATCTTTACAAGTTTCTAATGCACGAATCACTGCATATAATTCTGCTCGATTATTTGTTTGTAAATTTCCTGGTAATGGTTCAGTAATTTCTTTACTTCCATCTTTATAATATACTCCAATTCCTGTATAAGCTCTTTTTCATTACTTTTATAACAACCATCAGTATAAATTACTATTTTATTATTAGAATTTAACTTTTTTTTCTTTCTTTTAATTTTTATTTGATAATTATCAAATAATTGTTTTGCTTCCTCGAATGTTAAACTTTTTTTAAAATATGCAGAAGGATAATTGTTCACTTGTTCTTTACATTTTTTCAAAGTATTATAAATATCTAGAGTACAACCAATAAGAACAATATAATAATAAATTGAAGATTTAGGCATTTAATCTAAAGGACAAAAAAGCGCATGAGCATGTCCAAGGTAGAAAAATAAGGTATAAAGTAAGAGTTAGTATAACAAGCGAATTAAGTTTTAGACATATATATGAATTGGGATCCTCCTCTTGCCTAAATATCAAAATATTTAATAATTATATAAATAAAAATCTAATCGGTCATAAGACTAATTAGATTGTTTAAATTTAATTGTAGTTGTTATTTTACATACAATAAAATATAAAACGAATAATTTTAATAAATGATAAAATAATAATTCAGGTTTTATTAAAAAAATAAAAAATAAAAGAGAAATATGAGGGTTTATATAATTTTTAAAAAGCTATTTTTAGAATAATAATAAATAAATTTCATTTATTAATAATTTCAATATTAGAATCACAAAAATCAAGTTTACAACCATTCTTGAATTTAATATTATTGATATTTGCTTCTGAATATAATAACTTCAATAAAAATATTTTAGTTTTTTCATCGATAACATTTTCTTTTTCGATAATAAATTTATATTTCTTAATAAGAGATTTATAAGATAAATCAATTAAAAATTTTTTATCTTTTGTTATTATAACTTGAATATATTCAGTTATGTGTCCATCATCATTAGAATATATTAATGGTCTTTTATAATTCATGTTTTCATTATCTCGATACCACCAGAACTTTTCATTTTTTGTTAATTTTATTTCATTAAAATCTGAAGTATTAGAATCAGAATTATCTGATTTATCTGAATTAGATTTATCTAAATTAATATTCAAATTATCAGTAGACATTTTAATAATAAAAAATTATATAAAGAAAAATCTAATTGGTATAATATACTGATTAGAGTAATTGAATTTAAGCTAACAAATTTAAAACACTATTTAAATTATAATTTGCAGCATTTGAATCATAAACAAGTATTGCAAATTCTTCAGAGAATAAAAATATTTTTTTTTTATCTAATTTATGATAAATATATGATTCATATTTATGATGCATCATTTGATTAGTTATAATTCCATTTTTCAAACAGAAAAAATCTCTAGTTTGTAAATTATAAATATAGTTATTTGAGTCAACATAATAATAGAAGTATGTTTGTAAATAATAATTAAAATCTGATTCTGGAACTACAAAATATTGATGATAAATATTCTTATTTTTATAAATTAAACTTGGAACAATCCAATCAGAAAATAATGTTAAATATCATTCAAATTCAAAATTGTCACATTCTTTAGTTTCATCATTTACTTGTAAATGATATTTGTCATTAGTCTTCTTTAGTGATATATTGATTATAATTAGTCTTTGACTGTTTAGAAATAATTTTAAATATATTAAATATAATAAATAAAAAAATTATAGCTACTAATGCATTAAAAAAATCAATTAAACAAAATCATAGATTGGGACCAATTTTAATTAAAAGTTCTTGTGCTATTATAAAATTATTTACAAAAAAATCTAATTAGTCTTTAACTGATTAAATATATAATATTTAAATATCAAATAGAAAATATGAATAAATAAATAAATTGTAATCAATAAACTGATTATAAACAATGTAAATGCTGCTACTGCTTTAGAAACTTCTATTATATATAAAGAAGCATTTGGTCCAAATTCAATTACAAATTTTTGAGTAAACATTTTGTATATATGAAATAAATTAGATTTGTGCTGTTTTTATATTTAATTTTTCTTTTAAAAATAGTAATCAATTCGATTTCGTTTTGATATAGGAATATTTGGTTCATTTTGTTTACATTTTTTTTTGTTAGTTAAGAGTTTTAATTCTACTAATTTTTTCTCTACAGTATTCCAATAATCAGCTAATGTAATTTGTTTTGAACATTTTAGATTTTCATTATATATTACTTTTAGAAATTGTTCAACTTCTTCTTTTTCTTTTTTTAATAATAGTGCACATATATCTTATAATGATTTAAAATAATATAAATAATCTATTTTATGTTTTTCTTTTAGTTTAGAACATGGCCACATCTTTTCATATACTTGTGCTTTTTCATCTTGATGTGTCAATATGTAATAGTAAAATCATCCAGGTTCAATTTCAATTCTATGATCATCTTGCATTCTAGTTACAAAATTTATTACTTTTGTATTGCCACCTTTCTTTATAGGTTGAAATTTTCCATTTGCAAAATCAGTTAAAGATGTACGTTTGAAATTAGGATTATATTTATCTGTTAACTTAAACAATTTCAAATCTGTTTCATCTATATATTTTTTGACTACTTCACTTATTGTCTGTTCAATACTTTTTTCATTATTCATCAAAATTTTTTTTTGATCTTCAAATCCTAATACTGACCATATTATATCTGTTGTGACAGTTCGATAAAAATTCGTTGCATTCTTTTTTATGATTCTTCCTTTCTGAAAAAGTATTAGATTATCTAATTCTACTTTATCTTCATGTTTGATTTCAAAATACATTTTCTTCTGTAGAAATATTCTAGGCATTAAAGTTTTTTTATATGCTACAGCTATATATGAATATCCAGTCTCTTTTCTTAAAACTTTATTTATATGTACTTGAAGTTCTTTAGAAAATCTAATTGTTTCTTCTATCATCTCAGTCCAAAATTGTTTTTTAATTTTTGAATTATCTATTGATGCATATTTATTATAAATTTGTTTTAATATACTTGTAAGTAATGTATAGAATACTGAATCAGTATCACCATAAATTATATTATATCCTTGTGACTTTATGATTTCCATAACTCGTCATGTAAATGAATGAGCTGAAGCAGTTATAGATGATGCCACTTGTTTATTGTAAAATAGTAAAAATATATATCCAGTTACTTCATAAATTGAATTTGCCAATACTTTTTGAGCATTTGATTTTGATTCATAATATGAATATAATTGTTCATCATTTTTATATATTTTCATTTTTAATTTTGATTCTTTACATGCTGTTAATAATTCTTCACACATTAAAGGCATGATTTCTATTTTTTCTTTCTCACCATAATGAGGTTTATATTTTCCATATACTGTAAAATTATCAGTTATCACATTAAGATTTAGATCATTTGAATTAATATTTACACAAGTATCATTTGATATATTTGAATTAATTATTATATTTGGATATTCTGATCCAAAATCTACATCAGCAATTGGTACAAATTGTTCTAAAAATTCTATTGATGGCATTTCAGGTGGTATGACTAATCCTCTACTATATTTTGTTATCTTAATTCTTCCTTTTCGAACTATAGATATTAGTATATCTTTTTTAGCACAATATCGTCCATATAAATTATTTACCAAACATCCTACACTATTTGTGAATACATTTAATATTGTTATACTAGTATATTTAGCAATTTGAATATAATCACTTATTATATTTCTTTTCAGTAATAATTCATGACATCATAATGTATCAACTGAACAGTAATATGCAATCTTACATGCATATAAATCTAATATATTAGAATCAACTTGCATCTTTTCTAATATTTTTTCATTATCAATTTTAGTTAAATTTGATAGTTTTAATGAAAGGTCATTAAGTATTGTAATATTATATCGATATTTGATTGCTGTTATATAAATAAACATACAATCTAAATCTTTTGTTTCTTCATCTAGAACATATGGTAGATCAATTTTTTCAGGTAATCCACATCGAACTAAAACATTATTTAGTGTATTACTCAATGTAGTTAAAAATGTTTTCTGTGCCCATATTAATAAATCTAAAAAAACAGTTTTTGGTAAATGAAAATATTTATATGTTCTATTTTCCATTAGATTTACTTTTATCTTTCTATTATTAATATTGATTTTCGCAAATTCATATTTTTGCATTTTCTCTTTGATATTTTTATCAACAACTCGTACTGTTGTTTCTTTAATATAATATTTTATTGCAGATTTTTTTTATTTAATAAATTATCGACAAATTGTTCTTCATTTCCCAATATGATTGATTTTCAAAGTACAAAATTCCAATCATAACTTCTAGTATTGTATCCAATTTCAAAATCTGGTTGTAAATATCCAAATAATTCTGCAAACTTTAACAATAAATCTTTTTAATCTATTGCATTAATGAATTCTATATTATCTATATTATAAGTTTTTTTAAATAATTCATTATTTATTGTTAATGTTGATATATTGTATCGTTTCAAAGGTTCTTTACTGTTCAATAAACAAAGATCCATCTAAATCATATAAACATAATCATCTTTTTCTTCACCTATTGGTAAAAATCCTGGACCTCGTGTTGAACATAATTCTATATCCCAATATAACATGAATAATTTAGATATTGTTGTCATTTAATTTTTTGTATTTGATCAAATGTAATGTTTATATCATTTATTAATTTTAATTCATCTAATCCTTCTGTTATTAATTCATACCATCCAACTAATTCAAACTCATTTTCATGTGCAACCTTTTGATAATGACATGTATTGTCATCTGAATATGTATCATATTGTAACCAAAATATATCTAATAATTTATTAAGTTCCACTTCTCTCATTTCATGTTCTCTAGAAAATTTTATACATTTTCCAGATTTTTCATTATTTTTTTTACCTTCTTTTATTAACTTGATATCATTTAATTCTTCTTCTAATTCTTTTTGTTGATTTTTAATCTTATCAAGTACTTTTTTACGTTTATTATGATTTTTGAAATAAAATCGAATAAATTTAAATTTTTCAGTAGAATCGAATGGTTGTTTGTAAATAATTTCATAACTTTGAGGTTTAAATTCATTTGTATATGATGAGATGGAATTTTTGTTGTTTAATTTTATATCGAAGAAGATATCTTGGATTATGATATTGATTAAAAATTTGTGACCATTCAAACAAACTGTATGTAATCGTAAAAAATATCCTTCATTATTTGAATAATCAATTGCATCATAAATGAAAAAAATGTTTGTGTCAGGTTCAGTAATGAAATTTTCACGTTTATTCATTTTACAATTATGTAGAAAAAAATCTATCTGGTCTTTCTAGACTAGATAGAAATAGAAATAAATAAAATTTTAAATATTTTATAAAGTATTTGAATATTATTTTATGTATCTTTTGACAAAATATTCTTTTATTTCTTGAGAAATATTATATATATAGATTTCATTACACATTATACAAACATTATGAGCATGTACTATATAACATTAGTTGTTATAATAAAATTTTTCATAATGTTGACAATATGCATACTCTTCTGTTTAGCAATTATAACTACTTTTTAAATAATAATCTTTTTGTATACAATAAGTATTTATTTTACAACGATCACAATTTTGTTTTCTATAATTTAATAAATGATCTTTTTTAATCAATTAATATTTTAATAAAGAATCATATATATCAACTGAATGATATAGTAAATTTTTAGTTTCTAATTCATATTTCACATTATTGAAACATATATAAATCTTGTTATTTTCATATTCTATATTCCAATTCAAGAGTATAGGTAGTTCATAACGTTTCTTTATTAAATAATATTTTTTTTCTTGTTTAACTAATAATAATTTGAGAAGATTTTTTCATAAAACACAAATAAATTTAAGTTGATAATATTGTTTATCAAATAGTGTGATTTTTTCTAGTAAAATCAAAGAAAAAATTATCAACAAAATCTCATTAAGAAGAATAATCATCATGAATAAATTATATAATTAAAATTCTAACTGGTGCTATATACTAGTTAGAAATAGTTTTATTTAATAATTTGTTAAATTTGAATTCTAAAATAGTTTTGATCTCTGAATTCTGCATGTTTTTTAAATTTAACAATACAGAATTTTTGATTCGCCAAGTAATTTTCTCTTTGAATATTTTTTCATTATTTTTATAATATAATAAACCAAAATTTTTTCTCTAATCGTTAACTTCATATTGTGTAATAAAAAAAATAATCTGATCAGTTCTATTATTAAAAGTAAGATAAAAATTAATGTCTTATTTTTTCCGTACAAATTCTTTGATAACTAATGTAGAAAAATTGTGATTATTTTTCGAACTAAAATCTGATTAATCATTAATCATAATAAAATTATGACCAAATGTCTTATCAATTGAATCATATATCTGTTCAACATCTTCTATTAAAATAAACATAAGATATTCATCATTATCATCTTTTTTGTATGAATAATTATTTTTATATAATTTTAAATAATCTAGATAATTAAAAGTATGTAGAAAATTTATCTTAAAATATTGTTCTTCTTCTTTTGTTTCAGTTCAATTTAACTATTCATTCAATTCTTTTTTTCTTAATCTGGTCATGTTAAGACTATATAAAGAAAGAAAGGTTTCATATGAATATTTCAATCGAAATTTGGATTCCAAAAGTTTTAATTTCTTTTTTAATAAATACATTTTAAATTACATATGAAAAAATCTAATTGGTACAATGTACTAATTAAAATAAATAATATTTTTCTTTTATTTGTTGTTCAAAAATATTTTTAAATAACAAATAAGCTTTTTCTTCATCTTGTTTAACACCTCTTTTTATTTTATAACAATATGCTACTTTATTTGTTCCTCTCAAATCTCCTAAATTTGCAGATTTTTGATAATATTCGAATGCTTTAACTTCATTTTTCTGAACAACACCATCTTCTCCAAATGAATAAAATTCTCCAAGTTTATAAAATCCCTTAGCATATCCTAATTCAGCTGATTTTTTATAATAAAAAAAAGCTAATTCTCTATTTTCCATAACACCTTCACCATGATCATAAGATATTCCAGTTAAAAAAGTAGCTTTAGGATGTTTGAGTTCAACAGCTTTTTTAAAATAAAACACTGCTTTCTTAATGTCATTATCAACTCCTAATCCAAATCTATAACAATATCCTGTTTTAAATATTCCTTCGGCATTTTTCAAATCAGCTGCCTTATTATAATACTTAAATGTAGTGAATTTATTTTTTTCAAATTTTGCAAGAAAGATTAAAGCTTTAGAATTTTCTTGATTGTTTAAACAATAATCGATGACTTTTTTAAAATCATGATTATTTTTTTTTAAATAATCTTTTAATGTTTTGGTAGTTGATTCTTTATAGATCAAATCATATAATTCATTAATGATTTTATCCATCTTTACATATAACAAAATCTATCTGGTCATTGACTAGATAGATTAAATTTTGTAGAATTGAAATAAAAATAATTTAAATAATAATTAAATCTTTTTTGAATCTAATAAAAATATCTTATGACATGCTATACAAGTATTATGAACATGATATTCATATGTTCCATTCAAATGATTGAATAAACTAAAATTAAGTCCATCTCTAACTGGACAAAAAATAGTTTGACAATTATAATTCAGATTAAATACATAATCATACTTAATACAATACTCATCAGAAGTGCAACGATCACAAAGAGTCTTTCCAAAATATGACAATACACTTGATTGTAATAAATAAAAATTATTATTGATCAATATAGTTTCATACTCGAATTCATCAACTGATGTATTCAACTTAAATTTTAAATCATTGAAACAGATATAAATCTCATCATTCTCAAATATCATATAAAATGAAAATATAGAAGGAGGTTCATGTGTGAGAGGATCTTTTTTAATTAAACTGTACTTAACTCCATGTTCATGATGAATGACTTTACAAAGTTTATTCCAAAGAATACAAACATTCTTGAGTCGATAGTAATGTTTATCAGTTATAAAAATAACTTGAGGAAGAACAAACTTAAATATTTGTAAAAGAATTTCCTTAGGAACAAAAATCATTGTAATAAAGATTACATATAAAAATATCTATCTGGTTAAATAAACTAGATAGAATAATTATTTATTATCAATATTAATCTTTAATGGTTTAATAACTAAAAGTCTTGGTATTAAACCAAAATAAAAACTCTTAAATATTTTTGTAAAATGTTTACATTTTTCTTTGTCATATACTGAATTTACTAAAAATTTTAATCGATATGATAATAAAGAATAATATAAAAACTTTGTTTCATTATTTTGGTATTTGATTATATTTTTTCTTACATTAGTTTGAATATATAATAATTCTTTAATATCTTCTTCTTTAATTAAATCTGAATATGACATTTTTTAAATTATATATAAAAAAATCTATCTGGTCATATTGACTTGATAGATAAATATAAATGATAAAATTAAATAAAATATAAAATAATACAAATAAAATTTAAATATAAAATATTTTTCTACAATATTTTAGTAATCAATAAATCTAATTGAGAATCCATGTTTACCAATAATAAAAAATATTCGGTTTATTAAACTGAATATTTAATAATAAAAATTATAATAATTGATTAAAAAAAAGATCATAAGATTTACGATCGCATTTCTTTTGACATGGTTTGAAATCAATACAATCTTTACATAAAACAATCTTGTTATTGAATTTAATATGTTCTGGATAAATAGTATTAATGCTAGTTTCATATAAAGTGTAAAGTTGTTTTAAATATTCATTTGAACATGTTTCACCATGTCTACCTCGTTTCTTTTTACGTCTAGTTGTTGTTCTAAGAGGTGGGTCTACATAAACAACCTTATAAAATTCAAGATGATCAGTTTCAATAACTTTCTTATCCACATATTCTCGTTCATCCTCATTTTTAACAAAATTGTTAAATATATTCACGTCTCTGATAGTACGATCTTCAATAATATAATCATAATTCATTAAAGTTTTAATACGTGATGCTCTTTCTTTATAGAGATTGATAACCACATATTGAAAAAATAGAAAATTTTGAGTTTTGTAAAATAGTTCAAGTTCTTCAGAAACTTCAAGTGATGCTTCAATAAATCGATAAACAGAAAATCCTCTTTGTTTCAAATAATCTTCAAATAATTTCACACATGTAGTCTTTCCAGCTCCAATGGTTCCTGTGAATACAATAATTTTTGTAATCTTCTTTGATATTAGAATAATATAACAAAGAAGAAATAATAAAAAAAATAAAATCAAAGCTACAATAACTTTAATTGAAAGTAATTGAATCATTTTATTTTTACATATAAAAAAATCTATTCGGTAATGAACTGAATAGATAAAAATATAGATAAAATATTGTTAAACTCCTATTTTATTAATTTGAAAAACTTCATAACTATCCAAACTATAAGTATGATTATTCGCAATTTTATCATAAAATTTTGGTAAATATTTTAGAGATTTTTGTTGTGAAATAAAAAAATCATATTCACCAAAAGTTGGATTACAATCATTATCACAATATATTGCTTGATCAATATGATCAAGTTTAATATATGTTGCAAAACAATTACTTATTTTTTTATAATCAATTATAAATAAAAAACTATCTGTTGTTTTTTTATATTGTGAATTTCCATTCCAATCAAGTGGATTATATCCACCCATAAGAAGAGTTGTATTTTTAATTTTAGTTACTACAATAGTTGGACCTTGATTATCGCATTTAGAATGAAATGATTGAGGTGTCCATCCATCAAAATAACTATTATATAATAAAGTGAATTTATATTTAAATCCTTTTGATTCATCATCTTTTGTTTTATCTATTAATTTTGTTAAGATTAAAGCAATCTCTCGTTCAATCAAATCTGATTTAATTGTAAAATTTCCCAATCTGATAAATGATATATCATACTTTGGTTCTCGTGTTGTATCTAAAAAGTAATTTATTATATCTTTAAGTAAATCTTCAGATAAAAGATTTTTATGTTTCCATACTTCACTCATAAATTCGTTAGGAATAAATTGATAAAATCTAATATAATTGATTAATTCAAGTAAACTTTCTTCTGAATGATTTTTACTCCATTTGATTAAATATTTCCAAATTTCATTCTCTTTCATATCAAGATCATCATGTTGAATAACTAATTTTAAAAGATCTTTCTCTAAATCAAGAAATTCATCATGATCAAATAAAACTTTTGGTTTTTCGCAAATAGTTTCGAAAATACTTTTTTTAAGTTTTGTAAACATTGACTTATTACTAATAAAATTCAATATTTTACATGATTGCGTTTCTAAAAAATTACTACTAATTAAACAGTCTTGTATAAAATCGATAAGTTCTTCAATTAACAACTCATCAACAGCAACTAAGAGCTTCAAAATCGTATCAATATCTAGATCATTTAATTCGATAATTCCACAATATAGATATTTGAGAATAATATTGAATATTAATGCACTAATATAAGGTTGTGATAAGACAAAAAATTGATTTTCTTTTTTAGCCCAATTTTTTGATAAAGCATTTTGAAAATAAATTGATCTAGCACGTAAAATATTTGAATGTGCAAAAATCTGTTGCTTATTTAAATCTGTCTCAACTGTAATAATAGTATCATAACTATTATCTTTAGATTGATACAACAAATCTAAATCATTAACTAATTTAATAGTAAATGTTTTTGACATTTCAAAAATTACATAAATAAAATTCTATTCAGTTTAAAAACTGAATAGATTAAAATTTTTCATAAATTTCAATGAACCAACTATTAGAAAATATATTTTCATATTTGTTTATAATATTAATTTCAAACATTTTATAATTTTCATAATACTGTTCTTTTGAATATTTAAAATCTGTATGTAATAATTCAATTCTTTTTAAAATACAAAACAGATTAAAACAATTTAGTTTTTTTAAGAATTCTAACATATTAAAATGTAATCCGAGTTCTAAATTATCTATAATTAAAAAATTCAAAAGTAAACATTCCCAAAAATGTAAATTTTCTTTCAATAAGATGTCATTATCATTATTCTTGGTATCATTCACCATAATACTATATAAATTTTTGTAAAAAAATCGATATATTTTAGGATCATCAATAACTTTTATTAAATTATTATTTAAAATAATTCGATCTGTCTCAAAATTAAAATTATACTAACAACAAAATCGTTTAAAAAAATATTTTTCAAATTCAATTTTATAAGGTTTAGATATTAGACGTAAATTATCAAT